TTTTTGTTTAATCGTTTGTGCGTCTTTGTTGACCACTCTACGGTCTCGCTCTCACACGCGGCGATTATATAAACATAGAAACATACAAACACACATGTTTTTTTTTCTTTTTCTACTTGTCTATTACGCACAACGCATGTTAGTTTTTTCTTTTCGTTTTTTACGTGAATAAGTAAACTTTGCTTTATAATTTGTGTTTCGCGATTCAACTACTTTTCTCGAAGCACTTTATTGCAGGTTTTTTTTTTTTTTAACGAAGCACTTATTGTTTTATATCTGGATTATTCGATTTGCCTTTCGATTTATTTTTTTTTTCCCTCGTTTATTTGTTTAACGCGCTTTACATTTGATTAAGAGAGTGCAAATGCAATTATCCGCTTGCTGATTTCGCATAGAAACTGCTGTGTGTGTGTCTTCTTGACTTATCACATTTATAGTAAATGCGCATTTTATGCACTATAATTTTATGCAATGATTCCGACCACAAATTGCGCTGTTCAAGTGTCCTTCGCTCTGATGATACTATCATTATATGTAGAATATTTCAATTTCCATATGTATATAACAACACGAAGATCTAACACAATCTACGTAGCAAAAGTCTAACGGTTTATAAAGCGGTAATCAGTTTCACGGAATTACCTTCTGAAAGGAGAATAAAGCTCTATGGAATTTCGAATCTTCGAATATACAAAATTAGCGAAACTGAAAGCCGTTTTACTCGCGAAGGGCACCAAACTCACGCAAGCGCAGGATATGCGTGTGTGATTAACGCGATAACTAATTATGCAAGTGTCTCTCTGTATGTGTATATATAATCAGCATTTCTCTGAAAGACTTAATAATAATATCCGTTGTAATCACAGTCGATGTAAAAGTGTACACAGAGGCGATGCTCATTAATACAATATACCTATAATTTAGTCTTTCGTTTACGATTTTCTTTATCGCTTATTCTACTCTTCACGTTAACTCGCGGACGAACATGCTCGTCTCCTTCGAAACACTCGAACCTCTCGGTCCATTCTGAGAGGATGTGCCCCCGGATGCGGTCAAAAGACATCGAAATTTCTTTCCTCACGGCCGCCATCGCGGTTTCGTTTTCACATATGCATGTGTGTCTGTGTATAAGGTGTGGCACTTGCAGGATATGAAAATCAATTGCACACAACGTCAAAACTTCACCCAACAACTTCGTCTTTGCCCGTCGAAACGCATCTGTAATTTTTGCGGTACGGAAACCGTCGCATTTTCTCCCTCCCCTGGCGAGGAAGTAGGCCATTCGTTTGATATCACGTCGATCGGAAGTTTAAAGGGTGAGTTTTGCGACGTGTCCCAGGATGACGACGAGACCACGACGGGGCTAGGCGGAGCGCTGCGATGACAGTGCGAGCAGAGGTACGCTAGCAGGCCCTTCCCCGTCGGGCGAGCGTCATACCGGTGTCTCGAAAGTCACCTGCAACCAATTATTTTCGACAAATTTAAATCAAAAATTCAAACTGTAAAACTCTTTAAAACTAAACAGAATTTTCAAGAGAGCCGATAATTTTTTTGTGAAGAAAGAAAAGCACTTATAAAATTTTTCGCAATGTAATTATTAATTTAATAATTCTTATTTACAAAGAAACTTCTTAAGAATAATACAAGTTAGCGTATTGAGTACTTTTTTGTATTATTTTTTTATTTAAATAAGAAACATATGGAAATTGTGCACAACTTATTAAAATATTTGATATCAAGCTTAAAAGAATTTAGCAAAGTAGCGTCAAATTATTTCAAAATTTTCACCACAAAAAGATAAAAGGTTGAACTGAAATATCGCTTTATGTGCTATATATATAATCTCGTAGTTTATTTTTATTTATCCATTTGTTTCAAAAATTCAGTTGTTTTTTCAATTCAAAAATAGTTACTACGCTTTTCGCGCAACGGGATGAGAGCACTCAAGCTTTCATCGTGTCTCCATATAACGAAGTCAACGTAACGAAATCAACGGATGAAATCAACCCACCTCTCTAGCCCCTTTTCTCGATCGCTTCCTCTCGAGCTTCGGTGTCTGAGGTAGCAGGGTGTAATCGCCGCTAGCACCCCCGCTTCGTTGCCGCGCCACGGGAGACTGGTGGGACAACGTGGACGCTCGCGGGGGCGGTGAGAACTGAACACCCTGCGGCAGTAACGAGTAGCCGAGGTTTTGGCTCTGAATAAACGGCGAGGACGATGGAAAATGATTCGCCACCACCGGCGACCAGTATTGATGCGAGTAACGAGCCGGGGAG